GCCTTCATGGCTTCTATCATGGTCCTGAGCTCATCTGTTTTTTGTCAGTTTCTGCTCTAGAGTCTAGAATCACGACTTCCATTTTGCTCACTATCTCTATGGTTATCTGGGAAATTATTTCTGTTTTGAATTTTTCCAGCGCCTGACTGATTTGTTTTGTTACTTCCTATGCTTTGAGTTCAGGGTGTCCTGGTGGTTCACTATCGACCTTTTCATCCTCATTTGCCCTACTGTTTGCCATTGGTGAACTGGAAGTCTGTCCTTGTGTCTTGCTTAAGTGTTTTCTCATTTTAATTTTTGTTTTCGGACTGTCCTTGGTTTAATCTCTGGGTTATCACCCAAATCTTCCTGATATAGTTGCGCCCTAGCTTCTGTGTTTCTAACGACCCACAGACATTCTCATCTTCATAACATCAGAGAAAACAGCTCATCAAATCAATGGCAATGCTTTACCCCAACTGATACAATCAGCAACACATTAAGATCAAACACAACTTGGACACTGACCACCTGTGGTAGTCACTAGTCTATCACCCTTAAATCATTTGAATTCAATTGAAATCAAGAAGCAGTCCAGAACATGTCTGCAGTGAACAAAATTTCAATATAGTGTATTTACCATTTAATGGCTCAGACAGAGCGAGGATGCAAGACCCCTGATCTCAGTTAGCTGATGGCTGAACCCCCTGACGCTGACTGACCTTGGGCTGCAAGGCCCAGATTGAGTTCCCCATCCTTCTGAATGATTGAACCCTGCAACGTTCTATTACAGGTTTCCCATGCCCTTTCTTTAAAGATATTCAAAGTTGGGAACTCAGAAAAATACCCTTGATGACCACCTCTGTTTTTGCAGAGTGGGTCCAAAGACTGGCACAGTCAGGAGGTCTGAGAGTGCAGGGGGTGGGTTATGGGGGTTCAGGAGTGCCTGCGCGGCTGCCTTCCCGGTGCTTGAGCGATGGCAGCTGGGTCAGGAGCTGACGTGGTTCTCCTTCCCACGGTGGATTGGGGCCCAGGCTTCCTCACAGCGCTTGAGCGATGGCGGCTGGGTCGGGAGCAGGCATGGTTCTCCTTCCCGCGGTGGATCGCGGCCCAGCCTACCTCCCAGTGCTTGAGCGATGGCCTGTGTGACCTTCTTTTAGAACAGGAAAACTACAAAGGACCAAAGTAGATATTCGACAAAGGAGAAGAGTGTTGGTGCCAAGGATCTGCCAAGGATGGTGACCTCTGCTTCTGAGATGAGTGATTTGGGTACGTTTGTGTGCGGAGTTCAGAGAAGAGCAACTAAGAGAACTCATGCCTGGAAATAGGTGCCTCAAGAACCATGCTGTGGTTGAGGCCACTGTGTCTAACAGACACATTGCTCAGAGAGGGCAAGAGGACCTTTTCCTTGTCCTTACTGGACCCAAGAAGAGACTCAGTGCTTTAGGTTAAGTGACTTAGAAAAACTCAGATTATGGTTGGTTTCTGCTGTGGAGCTTTTAAGCTGCTGTAGACGTGTCTATCTGCCTGTCTGTCTGGTTGGTTGATTGATTGGCTTGTGTGAGACAAGGTCTCATTGTGTTGCCAAGGTTGGTCTCAAATTCCTGGGCTCGAATGATTCTACCCACCCTCAGCAGAGGCTACAGGAATATACCACGGCACTTGGTTTGTAAACATACCTTTGTAGCTGTAGCCTCTCTGACTTGTAGCTCAGCCTTCTGGGGATCCATCAGCGCCCTGATGCCTGTCTAAGCAAGGGTGTGCCCTACAGTTGTACAAAGCTGTCCAGCCTCTAACTAAACTCTCTTCACTATGGATGCAGTTGATGAAGCACATACTCCTAAAGGAAGAGATACAGAATTTTTCAATCTGCTGCTGAATGAAAATCAGAAGCTTGCAGTTAGAAGAATTCTGAGTGGTGACTGCCGCCCTCTCCCATACATTCTTTTTGGACCTCCTGGAACTGGAAAAACCATGACCATAATCGAGGCTGTGTTGCAGGTGAGGGCTGTGGTGGCTCTGTGATGTCTCTGGGCTTTGTTCATACACTGAGCCTGCAGGATGCATCAGCTTTAGCTATAGAGTCAGTCAAAGCATTTGACAAATCCATGTACCTCATCTAGGATGTTTATGTAAATAATTAGCGTCTTAAAGGCTTGTTTCCTAGCTGTAGAAGGGAACTCTTCATCTTTCATCTTTAGTATAGTAAACCATTTGATTGCATCATGAAGTTTTGCTGCAGAAGTTACCTTGACAGTGGTTAAAGTCACCAGTCTACAGAACTTGCTGTATCTCCTTTTATATTTCAAGTTCAGGAGTCTGATTAGAAAGCATCCTTCAAGTGCCTGCATCATTGCTGCACTGTGAGCTGTCCTGGAGAGCACAGAGAGCCCTCCCATCTAACCACTTGTCTTAGGCAGAACCATCACCTTGATGTCTTTGGGGCTACACCTCAGAGGAGTGTCGGGGTTAACATCTGACCTTTACAGGCCTTGAGCCCTGTTAATGTACCTGTTTGTATGTGTGTTGGAGGTTGCTTTGCAGATTTGTAGTTACCCTTGGTCTCTTATGTCTTGAATGAAGGTACATCATGCTCTGCAGGACAGCCGCATTTTGGTCTGTGCCCCCTCCAACAGTGCCGCTGACCTTGTGTGCTTGCGGCTACATGAGAGCAAGGTACTGAGGCCTGCTTCCATGGTCCGGGTGAATGCCACCTGCAGATTTGAGGAGGTGAGCCCCAGGCATGGGTGAGCACCATGGCTACGTCTTCAGGGAGTGGGTATGTGTGAGCAGAAAGTAGAGAGGTGGTGGGCACCAGACCATCACAGAAAGTCTTGAGGGAGAAGAAATTGCTTCAGTTTGCACCACAACCCAGTTACACAGTGGGGTCTTATTCCTGTTTTACTGTATCCTCACACTTCCTCTGTGCATATCAGTCCTATCATGAACAACCTAAGCTTTGTTAAATTCTCATGTTCCTCTTTATTTGATCCTCAGATGTATTGTCTCTTTTTAGTTCTGTTTTATTGGTTATAATTAACCCTTTAGGGAAATTACAGGCTTCTGGTTTGCTTATGAAGGAAGTATTGCTTTTAAAAAAGAGATTGAGACTAGAATATATATGAAAGTTGTTTCCTAGAAGGATCTGCAGGATCAGATTACATTCACTGCTCTAGAGTCTACAAAACATGGACTTAATTGATAATGAAAATACAGACATTTTCATTTAAGAAACCAATATTAAATCATTAGCCCTCACTGAGAAATGACAAAAGGGCAAGATTATCTTTTAGAATTCCTTTCAGCTTTGTTATTCTAGCCAATTTAACAACTGCTTAATTTGAAAAATAGGCTGACTCCACCCTCTTTGCCCTAGACCATCATTGATGCTGTCAAACCATATTGCAGAGACGGAGAAGATATCTGGAGAGCCTCCCGCTTCCGGATAATAATCACAACATGCAGCAGTTCAGGGCTTTTTTACCAGATAGGAGTGAGGTAAGCACTAGGCATCTTGTGGGTTGCAGCGTCCTCAGAACAGAGGTCTGTGTCCTTCTCATGCTGATTTCTAAGCCAAGGCTAAGAGGTGGAGAGGAAGGTGGATGTGGCCGAGAGTGGTGAGCAGGACAGGAGTGCTGTTTTTGCCGAGACCACAGAGACTCAGGACTCAACAATGGGACTGGCAGGCAGTTGGACTAATACACACAGAGATTCTGCAGCTGCAGAGCCCAGGCTCTTCACTTGGAGGAGACTACAGAACTAGAGTCTTAGGAGCAAGAGGGACAGCAGGGAGGAAACTGGAAGAGGTGGTCCAGCCTCAGGTGGATGTGCCTCCTGGTTTCACTTGGTGGGAAGAAGCCACCACAAGGCCTCCAGGCAGGGATGAGCATCTTAGAGGATTGTGGAAGGCTGCAGCTTAGGAAGCAGCTGGAGCCCTGTGCCCACTGATGTTGGGGCTCTGCAGGGAAGACAGGGCAGCATGGAAGGTGCCTTCAGGAATCCTTAAAGCCAGGGGAGAAGGGCTGGGTCTGAGGAGAGGCTGAGCAAGTGCATCCATACTGCTGTGCAGAAGATGGAGGGAGGCAGCAGGCAGTGATGAGAGCCAGGCTGAGGGCGAAGGGAAGGTGAGGCAAGACCTCCAAGTGCGATCTTTACCCACCCCTGGTAGGGTCAGCTCAGCAGTGGTTGTGCAGGTGACTGCACTGTAGATTGCACACACAGCATTGTGCAGTCAGCCTTGCCTGCCATCTCGCAGGTTACAAGTCATTTTGTGACTCTGTTTTAGTTCCTCTCATATTTATGAAATACCATTTTGTTGTGTGATCAGTATAGAAATGAGTGATGAGGTATTTTACATTTTTTGGTCCAAGTCTTCAAAATCCACTTTGAAGTTAGAGCACATTGTGTGTCACATTAGCCACCACAGGGCTCTGCCCCAGAGCCACATATGGCTGTTCACAACTGTGTTGGCTAGTGCAGGTCTAAACACAAGTGAAGAATTTGAGGTTAACTGAAATAAAGGCCTCAAGACAGAGAAACCTCCAGCAATCCCCAGCCTCCTCTGTTTAAGGCTGAGTCTTTGGGCAGGGCAGGGGCAGCGTGTATACAAGTCAACGTGAAGGTAGGTGGCCAGCCAGGGCAGGCTGCAGTACTACAGAAGCTTTCCGGGCTGAGAAAGCCTGGCGGGCCACCCAGAGAATGGAGCTGTGGAAGCTTAGAAGATAGCAACACAGGCAGTATCATCTGGGAGAAGTGACAGTAAATGGGGCTTTTACAGGGTTGAAAACAGAATTTTTATGTTCTGGGAAGGTGTATAATATTAATTGTTTTCAACAGAAATTGAGCCCTGAGGTAGGAAAAAGGAAGGGTAGTCATTTCCGTAGGAAAGGGTATCATCTGTGGGGTCCTTAGCTTGGAATTCACAAGGTCAGGCCTAGGATCAAAGATGCAAACAAGGAGCAGGGGGAGCCCAGCACTGTCCTAATCAGGGAGTCTCCTCTGACACTTGTCTGATCATCTCAGTGGGACACCAAGGCTCAGAAGCGAGGAAACATACCTAGCTAGCATCTGAGTCAAGGATGCGGGGGCACAAGCACCAAGCTCAGGCTGGCACAGGCTGAAGGCTTGTCCTGTTGCTGGAAGCATGTGGCTCAGGCAGACGCCTTCCTTGTCACCAAGCCTGACCTCTCAACCATGCTGCTGCTGCCTTGAGGCCCACCAGGATGCAGGCTGGTAAGAGGGCTGCCCCTGGACACCCGTCACTCCTGCAGCATCAGTCTGTCATCCTGGAAGTTTGGGTCACATCTAGGCTGACAGCCACTGAAGAGTGACTTAGGAGGGGCACAGAAGGACGAGCCACACCATCGCAGCCACCTGTCCAGGCAGCTGTGCCCACTGCTGCTACTTGACCAGCCATCATCATTTGGCATTGGCCACACTCCACCATCCTGTGGGAAAAAGGCAGAGAAGTGATGCAGCCTGTCAGGCTCACAGGGCTTGATAGTGGTGAAGCTCGTCCTGAAAGTGTGGGGGCTTAGTGACTGGTGGAGAGGAGCATAAGGGACAGATGTGTGGGGCCAGGGATTTAGCTCAGTGGCACCGCACCTACCTTGCAAACATCACAAGGTCCTGCTGTCCAAAAAAAAAAAAAAGGAACAGATGTGCTATGGAGGCCTCTAGCCTGCTGAGCCACCAGTGGGCGCTCAGGCTTCGCTCATATCCGTGTGCTGCTCCCTCTGCACAAACTGCTTACTGAGCAAACCCTGGGTGTCTGCAGTAGCTCTGCCACCATCCTCACCCTCAGCCAGGCAGTTGCAGATTCCAGCCCTTGACCTCCCTGGTGGCTCTGTTGTGACCCCCATGGCACAGAGCAAGGCCTTGCCAGTGTGTCAGCCATTGGTTGTTAAATAGTGTGATGAGAATACTGTTCAGAATCTCTCTGTCTCCAGAGTTGGACACTTCACACACGTGTTTGTGGATGAGGCTGGGCAGGCGAGTGAACCGGAATGCCTTATTCCTTTGGGGCTGGTTTCAGATATCAGTGGTCAGGTAAGGCCAGGGCTGTGTGTGCTGTTTCTGTCTTGATCCTGTTTTTCTGTGGTAATGGACAGGGGTCACGGGGTCAGGTGAAAGTACCAGGGTCCCAAAGACCCCAGGCCATGGCACTGCTACTCAGCACAGCCTCAGTCCTTGGAGGCAAGGAGGAAAAGGGCACCCTTTTTGTGATTTATTCACTTGAAGACAGATACAAGGAGCTGTTCTCTAGGTATCAGGGATGTAGCAGCGAAATCAGCAACTCTGGTCCATGCTCTGAGAGCCCCATATGCCAGGGAGAAGACAAAGCTTCCTGCTCTGCTAGGATCTAACCTGTGCCACCCCACATCCTACCCCAACCGTTGCCCACCCCCCACCCCCCTGCTCTGGGCTCTGCACTTAGATGCCAACCCTTCCAGCTGTGTATCACACTGGCAGGTGCCCTCCTGTTCTCCTTTGGTGCCTCTACAGTGATGTGGTTGTCATGTAAAACTCCTAACGCTCTCCCCGAGTCAGGCAGGGCTCATTTGGCATCTGCTTTACGAATGTGTTAGGCTCCTCCTAAGGGCATGTCTCATCCCTCTTGCCAGGTCGCCAGGCTTCATGAGGCAGAGAGTGAGGTAGGGCAGGAGGGACAAGGACTGGTCTAGGGACGAGAGTGACAAAAGACAGGCACGAGGTGGCTATGTGTGGTGCCTCTACCAGGACAGGGCTTCAGAGAGAAGGCTGAGTGGTTTCCCTCAACCTGGTACAAGAGAAATTTCCAGAATACAAGTCCCTTTGGTAGGTTGGTGGGAGAGAGCCAGTACAGGGGAGAGGAAAGATCTGCAGAGAGAAATCAGTGGAGCTGTGTGTAGGGGCTCAGACCTTTTGAGTCTCCTCCATTCCACTGGGTGGGCTGCCCAAGCTGTGGTCAGTTTTTCCTGCTGGCCTCCCAGCGTCTTCCCTTGTCTCCATGGGGTCTTCACCTGCATAACATGCTGACTCTAGCCTGTGAGAGATGCCAGCTGTTAGCCCTGACCTCCTCCCTGTGGGGTGGGGCTGTGATTCCTCCCCTGTCCCCGTGTGCTGCAGATTGTACTTGCTGGAGACCCCATGCAGCTTGGCCCAGTTATCAAGTCCAGGCTGGCCATGGCCTATGGGCTGAACGTGTCCATGCTGGAGAGGCTGATGTCCCGAGCCGTGTACCTGAGAGATGAGGATGCATTCGGTGCTTGTGGTGCATACAACCCGCTGTTGGTGAGTTTGAGTCTGCTGCATTCAGAGCTCCACTAGGATGGTGGCGTCCAGGGGTGGCAGCTGACGACAGACCCATGGGGTGCTGCCATGCTGTACATCAGTGCCCTCTTCTCCACAAGTCACATCGTGGGCAGAGGCTTCCCAGGAAGAGGAGTTTGCACCGCCACGGGAGCCCTGCTTCCCTCATTCCTCCCACTCTGAAGGTGCAGAATCCTGAGAAGCCTGCATAGGACAGCCAGGTGTAGGCACCTCCTGGGCTGTGGAGGCAGCTTGGCTCACTTCGCCATCTCCCAGACGGGGTTTAAAGCACTTTGTTCCTGCTCGTCTGTCCAAGGAGCAAGAGGTGTGCTACCTGAGGGTTCTGTTGGGATTGGAGGGCTCCGGGCATAGTGATACTGATGGCACAGAGTCACTGGAGTACAAAACAGTAGGAAATTAAATCCATGAGACTTCATTGGTGTAATGAAAGTAGAAGCAGTTTTTGTAGCCATGTAAAAAAAAAAGAGGAAGCCTTTTCCACTGGGCTCTCCACTGCCTCAGACAGATTCTAGGGGTGGAGGTGGAGCTATGGAACCTGCGTTTTTGGAAGCCCCTAGGACACTGAGCTCAGGAACCTCGGATCTCGAGGCCTATTACTAAACAGAAATTACTATAATACAAAAATTATATTCACTAAACTGCTATAATAAACTGATGAACTACAATACAAAAAAAGATTCCCTCCTGGATTTGTGTTCCAAGTGTCGATGATGTGCGATAGTGGAAGATTTTCAGAGAAATGGCCTGAGACTCCCCCAGCCATCAACCCCATGAGAAATATGAAGAGGTGGCCGTGAAGTAGAGAGATGGGAAGGGTGGCCGCAGGCCTCCAGGGGAGGGACCACCAAGCAGAAAGGCTCCCTCTGACCATGCAGTTGCCCAGGGTGAGACTGGCTGTGACATCTGCTGTGCCCGAAAAGGCGTCTGAGAGCTTTGCTGCCATGGGAGATGGTGTTCACACTCCAGTGTCCCTGTGCCCTAGAGACCTACCAGTGGCCTTTGTTGGGGGGAGGAGTAATGCTCTGTCTGGGCCACAGTACAGGCTCAGCGTGCTGTGCCCATCCTACTGTACCCCTTCCAAGGTCCAGGCAACTTTCTGGCCCCAGCCTCAGGACATAAAAACTTTGTCCTATGTCTCCCACCTTTGTTCCCAGAATGACTGGAACCAGGGAGACACGTGCCTCCTTCCTCTGTCCTGTTACATGTACCTCTCTGGGCTAGTGTTATGACTGATACCAGGTCAGGCTTAGTGTTGTTCCCCTAAGTCGAAGTCCTGGGGTTGATGGGTACCAAGATTAAGAGCAGGTCCCTGCACCACATCCCAGACCAGCTGGAGACAGAAGGAAGTATTCCTTATGCTGGTGCTGTTCTCACATCAACCAGCAGCACTGCCAGGGAGCTCTGACTTCCTGCCACCCAGCTGAGACATAACTACAGGCTTCACGTAGAGCCTGAGGTCGCAAGATCGTGGATCAGTGTGAAGCTTGAGCACACAGGAGGGTGTCGTGTCCCCTAAGAGATGTTTGGCTGGTCAAGACCAAGGAGCATGCCTGTCACCCACCTCCCCTCACAGTGTCCACCTTTCTCTCACACGAACCATTGGAGGACAGTCATCGGAGGAGCTTGGTCTGGCAGCTGGTCTCAGGCTAGAATAGGGGACAGGCAGGAGCAGCAGTGGACGTGGCAGGCACTCAGGTTGGCTGCGCAGAACCTCCTTCTCCTTGACAGGAAGTGTATGGAGCTGACTCCTTGTGTCCTGCACCTGTCCTCTCCCTACAGGTCACAAAGCTGGTGAAGAACTACAGGTCCCACTCTGCCCTGCTGGCACTGCCCTCTCGCCTGTTCTATCACAGGGAGCTCGAGGTCTGTGCAGACCCCGAAGTGGTGACCTCTCTGCTGGGCTGGGAGAAGCTTTCCAAGAAAGGCTTCCCTCTCATTTTCCATGGGGTGAGGGTAAGTTGTGCCTTGAACCACCAGGTGCTTACTGTGTCAGGTAACGACAGGAAGGGGTGGGTCAGTTCTGTCACAGCACCCACCCTGCCCTTCCTTGGTGTTGGTCTGTTCCATGGTGTATGTCTGACCGTCTCTCAGGGAAGATGAGTGCTAGTGTCTTAAAGATGCCAGTTCTTCCCAGATTGACCCATATATTTAATATAATCTAAATGAAAATCACTGCAGGCTTTTTCATGAGAAACTGATATGGCATTGTGAATGTTTCATTAAAAAATGAGTTAATACATTACAAAACATTACAAAATTGGAGTACATAAACAAGAACCAAGATATATTATGTAAAGGTACAAGATCCCAATGATAAATGTAACTGTATTGTTTGCTTTAAATGTTCCAATAAACTTAATGGAAAAAATGGAGTAAATAAAATATACAGTATAAAAATACATGTGGTTGATTAAAAAAAATACAGATTGGTGGAACAGAATCCAAACTGTCTGTCCTTGTGCCTCAGCCTCCCAGAGTGCTGGATGACAGGTGTGCACCGTCACACCCATCTTCCCATTATCCTTTAAGAAGATTTTCTCACGGTCAGAATGAGTCTCTGTTCTCTAATAAGAACAATCCAGGAGAGTGAGTTTCATTAGATACAGCCAGGGGGTTGGCTGAAAGCCCTGTGGCTGGAATAGGGAGGAGACCTTGCTGCAGCCTCCAGGACTGACTGCAGCTGGTGTGCTGTGGGTTCTCATGGGTTCCCTGGACTTTGGCCCTGTTGCCCTTTCCCTCTGCTTCTCCAGTAATTCTTGCTCATCCTCAGTCAAGTTACATAAAGGAAGTTCTGCCAGGTAGGCATGGTGCCACGCACTTGTAACCCAACTACTCAGGAGGCTGAGGCAGTTTGGAAAAGGCAGTTTGAAAGTTTGGAGGGCAGCTTAGGCAGAATCTAAAGGGGAAAAAAAGAAAAGAGTTCTTTCCTGGACTTCTGCTATTCATCAGTCCCCAAATGATTTGTGCCACCAGTCCTCCTTTGTAGATTTACTTAATGGTTACACTGCTAGATTTTAAGTTCTCCTGAGAGTAGGAGTTTTTCTGTCATATACTGTTTTAGCTGCTGATCATGGGCCCTTGGTAAGTATCACTTAAGTAAAGTTCTCTCCTTATTAATTCAGGGCAGCGAGGCTCGTGAGGGACGCAGCCCATCATGGTTCAACCCAGCTGAGGCTGTCCAGGTTATGCGCTACTGCTGCCTCCTGGCCCAGAGCATGTCCAGCCAGGTGTCTGTCAAGGACATAGGTGTCATCACACCCTATCGGAAGCAGGTAGGACCACTAGGATTCCTCCTCCTGCGTGACTGCTGCAGCCTTGCTTCCTTGGTTTGTGGTCTGTGGAAGGCAGAAACCAGCTCATTTTAAACAGCAGTAGGTTTTTAAAGAAGCAGGACAACCTTTGAAGGATGAAGCTGCCTGCCTTCCAGAGCCAGAGCCCAGCATTTCTTTCTTTTTTTGGTGGTACCGGAGATCAACCTCAGGACCTTGGTGCTTGCTAGGCAGGCACGGTGCCACTGAGCTAAATCCCCAACCCTTGCCTTTACGTGTTGCTGTAAGGGCATCTGGAATAGCCTTGATGTTTAGCTCTTTAAGAAAAAGCTGCTTCCCTCTCCCCAAAAAAGCTGCCAATATCAATGAGTTTTTCAAAGGAGTGTTTTTGGCATTCTTGGAGGGAGAGAGTTTGTTTTGTTTTGTTTTGTGGTACTCAGAATTGAACCCAGCTTCTTCTCACTGAGCTACGTCCCCAGCCCTCCCCCTTTTTTTGGTACCGGGGAATTGAACTCAATCCCTTGCACTTGCAAGGCAGGCGGCAGAACCACTGAGCCAAACCCTGGCCCCCCAGCTCTTTTTTAAAAAAATATTTGCAGGGCCAGGGATTTAGTTCAGTGGTTCTGCGGCCTGCCTCGCATGGGTAAGGTCTCAAGTTCGATCCCTGGTACCAAAAATAAAGACTTTTGCAGACAGGGTCTCACTAACATGCTAAATTGCCCAGGCTGAGCCCAAACTGGCAGTCTTCCTGCCTCAGCCTCCACCCAGAGTGTTGGGATTACAGGCATGCCCCAATGCACCTGAATACTGTTGGCATTCTTGAAGGGGACAGCTCTCATTCCATGTGACTCTTCCTGGTCCAGTAAGGGTCCCTGTGTTGTGACTGCACTGCCAGAACACCCACCCCATGCATTCATTGCCCTGATGGGACCTTCATGCCACACACATGAGTATCACTCGTGGAGCCCTTGCCTCTGTGTATGTAAACACCAGAGGATGAGGAAGAGCTCCCAGGAAAGCAGGGCTATGTCTTCATTTCTTCTGAAGCTGGGCCTGTGTGAAGTGAGACTTAGTTCTTCCAAGGCTTAAAGAAGGTAAGTGACTTGCCAAGAGCCCACAGGTCATCTGTGTTTGTGCATCTCCTGTCAGCTCCTGCACATTTGGCTGTACCATCTTCAACCACAGACATTTTCCCGCCCCTGCTTACTACTGCACTTTTCATGTTTTCCTTTTCCTAAGTAACCAACCTATCTTGTTACTTTCCCCTTTTTTGACATGGTAAATATCAGAAATCTTGGAAATGAATGAAGAAATTGGCCAGTGAATTTAAGAAAAGTTCCTCACATGTCCCCTGTGAGAGTGCTTTCTTCAGGGAAGGCAAGTCCCCCAGCCACCAGTCTGCCTGGAGTATGCCCTCCACCCACGGCTTTGCTCCTGGAGGACCAGCTGGCCTGGCTGCATGTTTGAAAGGAGCTCCAGTAGGGGCCGTGCTCTGTGGAGGCGAGTCATTGCTCTCTCAAGCCCTCCTGAGACCGCCTTTGGACTGTGGCCGTCTTCTGTGATATCAGCTCAGGATCTCTTGATATTGTCCTACTTGGAATTTGTTGAGGTTCTTAGATCTGTAGATCACTGTTTTTCATCAGACTTAGGTAGTTTGGGAGCCTGTATTTCTTTGTATTTTTTCTGCCCATTCTCTCTTTTCCTCTGAGGCCCTTCTCCCCAAATTGGTAGCTTGATGTCACCCCCACAGACCCGCACATGTTCCCTCCGTCTTTATCTCTTTTTCAGCACTGATGGTTCCTATTGGTTTATTTTTAGCTTTTTTTTTTTTTTTTTTTTTTTT